CTTTTGCATCACGTTAATGCCCCTGCTCACTCATCTTTGCCTATGAGAGATTTTTTGGCCAAAAACAACACCACAATTATGCCTCAGCCACCATATTCACTGAATATGGCCCCCTTGCAACTTTTTCGTGTTCCCAAAATTCAAGAAACCCATGAAAGGACGGAGGTTTGGAACGATTGAGGAGATAAAGAAAAAATCGCTGGAAGAACTCAAGACTATACCAGAAAGTGCTTACCAGAAGTGCTTTGAGTATTGGAAAAAACGTTGGCACAAGTGTATTATATCTGAGAGGGATTACTTTAAATGGGACAACATAAATATTCATAAATAAATAAATATTTTTTCTTAAAAATACAAAGTCACCTTACTTTTTGAACACACCTCGTATACCTATTATATCATTTATATGAAGGGAAGAACTTGTCACTCTCAGGGTATTTAAAAAATCACTTTCTTTTATTCTCACCATTTATTCTACTTATATCCTGCGGACCATCAACATGCATACTGCCATTCACTTTCATCTTTTAAATAGAAATTTGGACACGTTTGGCCCTTACAAGATCAGACGTACCCTGGTTCTCACTTCTCCCATCATCATTTTCAGCCTACATCCTTTGCGCTCCGTGTTCGTGTTTCCTCGATATCTTTTCCTTTTCCTCTTTCATTTGTTGATTTTGCAGTTTCACTGTGGTAAACGTTCGCCGAGAAATTTTGGTTTTTTCGGAGATGCGCCTAGTGTGTGGAAGTTTTCGTGTTTTAGGCTGGGTTGCGCCCAGCCATGGATTGTAGTTGAGTCGATACCGGTACACGTGGGATATCGGCAAGGTGACGCAGGTGCGCGCATGAGCGACCGTTGCCGCGAACAGCCATTGGGTCGCAAGCGACTAGGGAGACGAAAAAAAGTAACAGCAACAGCGAGAAGGATGAGTGACAAACATATAACAACAACAGCAACAACAACACTAACGTAGGAACATTCGCACTTCCCGAATCTCCTCCTTTAAATCAATTTTATGGACGGCCGCGAGTCGTGAACTACCTAAAACAGGAACGTTCCCAAAATATTTCTTCATTACAATTCTTATAAGAACGCCTGACCAAAACTGTAGATACATCCATTGCTGATCATCCAAGATATAGGACCAACCGATTACATACTTGAATTTATTGTTTACAAATTAGTATCTTTCGAGATAGAAGCTTAAATAAAAAAAATTTTTCTCTTAATAAACTAAACAACAGTTACGACTATCATCTTTATAAATTATATATAAAGTGAACCTTTCTAACTACATTCGTATTGGTACGTCTTGATTATTATCAACTTAATAGTCAAGACGTAACAATGTATATGGGAGGTAATTTAAATGTGAGCATGTTAATACAAGCGTAGAATATAGAGTTTTATGTTGGAAGTGTTTTAAATATTGATGTGAATAATTGTCTCATAAGCACAATGTGACGAGAGCAAGCGTTGCGCTTGTTCTCGTCGGTATTTTCCCCAATTCCCCGTCTCAGTAGATCAAGTAGGGAGAGAAAAAGAACGAGGAAGAAGCTGTCGATCGCGGAAGAATAAAACGAGCGACACAGACGGTAGTGAGTCGAGCGGCCAGTCAGAAGGTTTTCCAACCGATCGGAAGTACAGATGGTAGTGAGTCGAGCAGTCAGTCAGTCAGAAGGTTTCCACTAACAATCCAAGCAATAGAGCATTTTTCACGTATTTTTTTCCGGAAAGCACGAAATTTTTACTGTAGATAGCTGACAATGAGTGTAATAACATATCTTCATCCAAAGTCTGAAATCGGTGCAGAACATTGTTAACCAGCCGTTTGAAAATAAAAATTTGATCTATTTTCATGTTTTCGCGTAATATCTTTTTTATTAGCAGTTGAATCGAAAAATGGTGGAATGGTTTTTTGTTTGTCTCGGCAAGACCTACAAAAGTTTGTGTCGCACGTTAATACATGTTAATGAAATAAAAAGTTATTAACACAAAAAGGCCAATTGTTAATTTAATAATTACCGTTTAATATTTGATCATAGAGATTTTCCATCTACCTCAATGTAGTACTTATTACGTAGAGATTATGAGCTTTGAAGCCGCAAGATCTAATGTTAATTTTAATCTATACAGATGGTTAACAACAAATTAACTGTTTCATTTTGTCCACAGTCCGAATCGTTAAGAAAAATGACGCCGAATTTTTTATTAGTACTTGTTAGAGTTTATAATCGAAAACTGCAATTTAACCAAAAAAAAATTTAATTTACAACTCAGGGAATTATTTCTACTATATTGCTTAGTTGCAAAATGAAATTAACCGCGTATTATAAAATTTTTCTGGTGTTCTACAATGTATTTCGGTAGATCGTCAAAAGAGCTTCAATTTGAAAAAAACCACATGAAAATTCGTCAATTGATAAAAAAGTTACAGGTTGTTAAAGTTTTCGATCTGTTGTTAAAAGATTAATATAGATAACGAAAAATTTTTTAAGCGATCCGATGCGGAAAGCCAAGGTTCTTTCAACTGTGAAATACCTAGATTTTGTTTCAAATTGTACATACATTAAATTCGCGATCGAACGTAAACAGAATCAATGATTTTTTCAATCTTTCTGGCAACGATATATCATATCTTTTCAAGCAGAAAAATAAGACCTTTGTCATTCAAAACCAAATGAATTGTCAACATTTATTTTATTACTAAATTTAAAACAGTTGACAATTACTAACAAATTAAAAAATAATTATAGTTATTGTAAATTTAAATGTTAAGAACCTATGATTTTTACACAAATGAATTGTGGCTTTCGTAACAATATTTTTGTATTAAAAAGATCATATCCAGATTTCTCTCAATAAGTAGTATAAAATTAAAAAATGAATCAATTATCTTCTTTAGATTGGAAGAAAAGTAATGTTAAAGTCGCGCCATGCGTTTTGAAGATATTTAGCGAATTTTTGAGCTATCCGAATAGCGGCGGTCGACTTCCCCCACCACTCCACGGCGCTAAAAGATTGAAAAAATCATTGATTCTGTTTACGTTCGATCGCGAATTTAATGTATGTACAATTGAAGCAAAGTGTAGGTATTTCACAGTTAAAAAACCTTGGCTTTCCCCTTCGGATCGCTTAAAAATTTTTTCATTATCTATATTAATCTTTTAACAACAGGTCGAAAACTTTAATAACCTGTAACTTTTTTATTAATTCACAAATTTTCATGTGGTTTTTTTAAATTGAAGCTCTTTTGACCATCTATCGATATACTTTGTAGAACACAAGAAAAGTCTTATAATACGCGGTTAATTTTATTTTGTAACTAAGTAATATAGTAGAAAAAATTTCCTGAGTTGTAAATTAAATTTTTTTTTGGTTAAATTGCAGTTTTCGATTATAAACTCTAACAAGTACTAATAAAAAATTCGGCGTCATTTTTCTTAACGATTCGGACTGTGGACAAAATGAAACAGTTAATTTGTTGTTAACCATCTGTATAGATTAAAATTAACATTAGATCTTGCGGCTTCAAAGCTCATAATCTCTACGTAATAAGTACTACATTGAGGTAGATGGAAAATCTCTATGATCAAATATTAAACGGTAATTATTAAATTAACAATTGGCCTTTTTGTGTTAATAACTTTTTATTTCATTAACATGTATTAACGTGCGACACAAACTTTTGTAGGTCTTGCCGAGACAAACAAAAAACCATTCCACCATTTTTCGATTCAACTGCTAATAAAAAAGATATTACGCGAAAACATGAAAATAGATCAAATTTTTATTTTCAAACGGCTGGTTAACAATGTTCTGCACCGATTTCAGACTTTGGATGAAGATATGTTATTACACTCATTGTCAGCTATCTACAGTAAAAATTTCGTGCTTTCCGGAAAAAAATACGTGAAATGCTCTTTTTAGGGCTCTATTACCTGGACTATAAGACGGCTTAGACGGTCAGCAGTGAAATGTCGAAAGTGCAGTTGAAGACAAAGGGTCAGCCAAACGCACACGTCACCAAGGAGCCGAGAAAGACCGAGAGTAAAGAAGACGACTGCCTTGTTCCAGCATCTGGTCGGGACGCTATCCGGAGAAGCCGGCAGGAGTTGCCCAGCGACAGCCAGCAACGTTGTGCGCAGGGCGCACCCAAGCCTACCGTTCCTGTATTGAAGGTCAAGTCTCGCAAACTAATCTCTCTCTCTCTCTCTCTCTCTCTCTCTCTTCAACGGTATGGCACAACGCGTAATTGTAAGCATCAGGTAGGTAGCAAGGCGTGTACATGCCGGCTACCTGCTCTATTTACGGTCGGCGTCATAAACTGTTCAAATAGAAATCGTCCAGGCGATCCCTCGCCGGACGGTTTTCTCTTTTAGTTAAGTAGCCTAAGTCAGTTCGTCGTCAAGGCTGTCATCTGCCGGTCCACGCGCGTTGTATATCGTATAGATTTGTAAGCGCGAAAAGTTAGTTAACTTGTTCTTTGTTTTCTATTGTAAATGGTGTTGAGAGCACCGTTGTGTTCTATAGTGTTAAGACGTGTTAGTAACACTGTTCATTAAGCTAAGATTTGTAAAAGTTGATTATAAGAGTTCATATTATTATGCGGTTTGTTAATGTACGGTATTTGTGAAGTTCAAATGTAATTTGACTTTATTTGGTTAGAATTAGATTTGTTTAAATGCGAATTTTTGTTGTGTCTATAATACCCTAATGACTTTCATTTCTTTACCTTTCCCCCCCTTCCCGCCTCGATTGCTACGAGCGAGTGCGCCTCACTTGTCCACCTTAAAAACTGATAACGAACAAGCTTTCGTTACAACAAAACCAATCGAAAATATCTATTTAAATTGACGAAAGATTTAAAAAAAATCTTCATGTTACTTTTATGTGATTTCTTACTCAATTTTTAATCCAGAAACTTGGCTTCTAATATTTATGAGGGATATCATATTAAATAAATTATTTTAAAAATATATCATCATAATTATTTCAGATCAAAGATTATGAACATCTTCCTGATCCTACGCCTGACGAAATAAAAAATTTCTTAAGAAAATTAGTCGTTGTGAAACTAAACGGTGGTCTTGGAACAAGCATGGGATGTCACGGACCAAAATCAGTTATCACGGTTCGCAATGGTCTTACATTTCTAGATTTGAGTGTACAGCAAATAGAGGTGCGTTTTTCTAATAAATTTAAACTATAACGGTATAAAAATCTCAATTTATAAGTAAAACATAATAACTCTATAAATTTTAGAATTTGAATAAAATCTACGGAGTAAGCGTACCACTAGTACTGATGAATTCTTTCAATACAGATATAGATACTCAAAAAATTATTAAAAAGTATAAGGGAATAGATGTAGAAATCCATACTTTTAATCAGAGTTGCTACCCTCGGATCAGCAAAGAATCTTTATTGCCTATAGCTAAGCATCACAGAGTACATGACGACATTGAAGCGTAAGTTGCTGTTCTGATTCAACAAAGTAATTAAAAAAATATACTGCAGGAACGATTTTAATTTAAAAAAATACTCGATACATAAAGAAAGAAATTACTAAAAACGACATACAATATTTTTATGTACTTTAAGATCTTGTAACCGAATCCACGGTCAATTTTACTTCAGCGCCTCACGTTCAAGGGCATTTGAAGACAAAGTTTAGAAAAATCTACTAATTCTTTTATAGTTCGGACGTATACATAATATACGTATTATGTAAAAAATGATATTTCGGTTACAGATTCTCAAACTACGACATTCAGATTTATTATTTCATATTTTTTGTTACAATCTCCAAAATAATTTCAAGCTCGCTTGTATTTTTAAAATATAAAAAGTGTCTCCATAAAACTAGATCTATGATCATGGGAGCAATCTGTGGCATGCATTCTGCGGGGCAAATCGTACGACTATATTATCAAATCAGTTTCGGGTTACCACGCGTTTGATTTTCGTAAATTCATATATTACAAGACAGCAATAAACTATAAAGATATATTTTAATATTATTTTATACAGTTTTACAATAGGAATATAAATTTCGATGTAGGATTTATCCTTTTTCTTCATTTATAAGCATTTAAAATTTGGATATGTCAAAATTACTATTCATGTTTTTCATCGTCGTCAAGCACCGTTTCTTCTTTGTTTCTTATAAAACCAATTTTTTACAAGGTCCGTATATCTGTACCTATGATTGAAGATTAGTATATCTACATATTTCAGTAAATCAGTACAAATAAAATAGTATTCTTATGATAATAGCGAATCATGGTTTGGTATAAATATTAAGTGAATAATTACATATAAACATGAAGTCTGTAAGCGAATGTAAATAGAGAAGCATGTCATTTCATTAATTACGTATATATATATACTTAATAGCGATCCGTTTGTAATCGTGGAATGGTACATAAATAAATTTAGTTGACTAGTGTTAGTTTGCGTCTGAAGAATTGACAATTTTGTACATTTTACGATCTTTTCGAACAAATGAGGAAAGGGAAAAGAATTAATCCATCTTAAATACTTATATTCCAATTTCATCTACTAAACACTAGTTTTCTTCCGGAAAATCTATTAAAACAATAATTTTTATAATAAACATAGATTTAAAAAAATGGTCATTGCCCCTACGCGCCCTCTCTCTCTCTCGAACCGATCGCGGCTATTCCGCTCAGCCGCTTGTTAACCTACGCGAGTCGAAGGATTTTCGGTAATCGTTGCAATACGTATTCGGTGAATAGTTTTTGATATTTAAGAAATTGGTTGGAAACGATTTAGAAAACGGTGAATAAATTGTTGTGAAGCGTTTCCAAAATTGTAATACGATTTAAAAAACACGTGATTGTTCTTCACTATATGCTTAGGAAATCGGCAGATTTGAGAAGTGTGCGAGTAAATTTTTTTTTTCTGTGTAACATATCAGACGTTTGGAAGATCATCGCGATGATCTGGGAAATGTAAAACTTACAGTCGCCGACTTACGACCAAAATCTTATCGCCCGACCGCATGGTTGGGGTTGACACCTTCGGAAACTCTGAAGCGCACATCTGCACCTCGCAATTTTACTTTTGTCTGCCTTTTCGATAGCGACCAAACACGGCCTGCACTCGGCCGATAAAATAAAAAATGTGTAAATCTTCCGTAGCCGTGATTAGTTATCGATCGTGTTAATGCAATAATATCGTGAGGCAAACGAAAGTAACGTGCGAGCACAAATAATTGTTGCGGTAGTTCGTAACTATTAGTTCACGAACAAAGGTATAGAGACAAATTACCAGCGACTGGCGCGTATATGCGGACACCTTCAGTGCCTCTTTTAGAGTGATTCGCGGGACGATAGGCGATCGAAACTCTTTTTGTATGGCCTAGTGAGTTGAAAAATTTTTGCACAAAAACACATTGCAAAGTCGCTATCACCGCCCTTAAACTTATTAAGCAAAACCGCGTGTAATCGTAAGTCTCAGAACATACAGGTTCCTTGAGACAAAAAGAAACAAAAGAAGGATTAAAACTCCTACCTTCATTCAGAGAATAAGGCAGGCAGTGGGCCGCCACCAATGCCAAGTCGTGATATTCGTAAGAGAACTGGAACTAGGTAACAGACTACGCGACTATATGTAGTAGGATAGGAAAAGCTGCTCTCTGGGCCTTCGGGCTGTGAGCGGGGAGAAAACCCGTAAGAGAGAGTCCAGCGTCGGTTGCCCGGCTGGCGTTTCTTCTTCTAGCTCTTCCAGAACGACGTCAGACGCGTGCTAGCTCTTACCTAGTTCGGTACCCTTACATAAAATAGCTTGTGATCCGCACAGATAATTATTGTCGATTCTTATTTTATGGCATTACGTTAGGATTAAGTTCACGTTTCATTTATATGTATATTAAAAATTAAGTTACCTAAAATTGTGAATAATCTTTGAGCGTGAATATTGATTTGATTGTGATAAAAATTAAGTTACCTGAAATTGTTAATAAGCTTTGTGGCATACTCCTACTTCCTTTATTCAGAACACACATTTTTTCAATGTACTTCACTTTGTACAAATAGATGTGTGTGTGTGTATGTTACTGCATACTCACGATTGGTTTTGTTTGTTATGAAAAGGAGTTGCGAAGATCACTAAAGGATAGATATTTTATTTCTACTACTCTTCTCCTACGCGTACGATTATACTCATTCGTACAATTATTCAGCCGTCGGAGTGTTCGCGTCTTCCAAACTAATACCTTTTAAATAGTTTATGCTGATGCTCGTGGATTGGGTAAAATTCTATTTTATTGTCGGTCAAAATATTTTCTGTGGACATCATCAAAAAAGAAATTATTATTTCTATGAAATTTAATACTTTCAATACATACGTACTCTATTTTAGTTTAATATTAACTACTTAATTAATTTAATAATAATAAATACTTTAATTTACTTACATAATACTTCAATTTATTTTATTAATTTTATTTTATTTTATTATTTTAATTTGCCGAAAATATAAAATCGTTATGAAAAAATTTCAACATAAGTGTTGATTCTAAAGCAGTGAATATTTAAAATAATTTTAAAAAATTTGTTCGCTCTGAATAGCTAGAGTGGAGTAGGAGTGTTTGAAAGGTCGGGAATTCGGACTTAGAAGAGGTGTGACATCTGGATAGTAGAGGCGGGTGCGTGATCCCATTCTTCTGAAATAAATAGTACGAACAGCCACAGGTAAAACTCTATTAAGATATCGTACAAAATACTTAGTTACAAAGTATCTTTTGTAAACAATTGCACACGACAAAGGAAAAAAATAAGGGTACTTTTTTCAATTTGTCTATGAATATCAAAGTTTATTTAACCAAACCTAACTCCATATCTCTAGTACAATTTTTGTATGTGGCTGCTTTTTCAGCAGGAGCATAAAATCACATCAGCACGAAAAAACGCCAATTAAATTATTAGGCTTGTAAAAAATATACTTGATTCATCGATCGATTTTGATCAAAATAATTTTTATCAGAAGTAATATTATTTATTAGGTTCTTGAGTTGCTGAAAGTTTCAATTTGAAACCAAGATTCATGACGCCTGCCGCACACGTCAGCCTACTTGGTGCTCCCAGCTCGCTTTAGAACGAAGAGTATGCTTTACATTCTAATGCCGCTAGTTGGCTGCTCTTTAACATTAATTTCTTCATTTTATAATTAACAACACAATTTTTATTTAAATTTATCTTACATAAGTTTTTAAAACGAATTCAGGAATATAAGTTTCATTCAATGTTTATGAAACAGCGTGTATAGTATTGTAACGAAAGCTCGTTCGTTAGCTATTATTTAAGGTGGGCAAGTGAGGCGCACTCGCTCATAGTAATTGAGGCGGGAAGGGGGAAGAGGCAAATCAAATGCAATGGTTAATAAATTTATACACACATAACACATTCGCATTTAAACAAATATAATTTCAAACAATTCAAGGTCACATTACACTTAAATTCCGCAATTACCGCACATTAACACCGCATAATGATAAGCCGCATTACACACACTTTAATCGAATGAACACAACGACGTTTTTAACAACTATTACAAAAAGAACAAATTAACTAACTTATCGCGCCTACAAATCTATAGAAAACATAACGCGAGTCGCCCGACAGATGACCGCCTTGACAACGAACCGACTTAAGCTATTTAGCTAAAAGAGAAAGTCGCCCGGCGAGGGATCGCCTGGACGATTTCTCTTTGCGCGATTTATTGCCCGACCGTCATCAAGGCAGGTAGCCGGCGTGTGCACGTCTTGCTACCCACCTAATATTAAAAATCACGCGCAGTGTCGTCGATGAAGAGAGAGAGAAAGAGAGAGAGATTAAATTGTAAACTAGACCTTGGATGCTGGAGCGGGAGTCCTGGCTGCGCCCTGCGTACGGTATTGCAGGTCGTCGCTGGGCAACTCCTGCCGGCTTTCTCTCAGCCCTCTGTCCTCGGCTGCACTTCTGTCACCGCTGGCCATCCACTGTCTAGCTTCGGTCGGCTCGGAAAACCTTCTGAGTCCCTCCTCGACATACTACCGTCTGTGTTGCTCGTTTTTCCTCGCGATCCACAGCATCTTCGTCGATCTTTTCTCTCCCTACTTGACCTACTTATTAGGCGGCGCGCAATCAATGCGCTAATTGGTTCTAAACGCGCACCTGCCTAATATTGCGTAGGGCACGCACGCCCCCGACTATTTCTCTCTCTTTCTCTCTCTCTAACATCTCTATACTCTCTCTGTCGCCATAGTAGCCGCTTCGGGCCTGCTCGGCCCCGCTCGGCAATCTCCGTCAGCTGAAACAGAAACTATGCATTAGACGCATTCTTGAATGCGCCTAACGCTGGTCACGTGCCTTGCCGAGAGAGAGGGGAACTTGGAAAAATTCCGACGAGAACAAGTGCAACGCTTGCTCTCGTCACAGTATTAATCATTCAATTTTATTCAAAA